TACGCACTGCTCTACGCATGTGATTACTTGGATTTTTGGCCTGCTATATTCTGTCCTTGTAACTCACAAATAGTGTGGATCGTTTTTCTTAGTATCGGTTCTAGACACCTAAAGATAATGATACAAAGAGTTGTCAAAAAAATTGTGAAGATTATTTTTGAAAATGTATGTTGCTTAGCGTAGAAAACGACGCGTTGTAAGTATAAAAATACGCTGTGTTATTCAAGCTTCTAAAACTTCGTGGTAATAAAGCTTTGATATAGTGATGTCTCTTGTGAATTTGGTAGTTCCGAATACGTGTGAAACACGGCTATATTATAAACTAGAATTAGTCATCAGGTTTGAGGTTACATCATCGGTATGCAATCCTCCTAAGTTAACGCCACTCGCTAGAATTTTTATTTTTCAATATATATAAGTTCGCAGCAGGCTCGTAGGACATAGGCTGCTGGGAACTTAGTCCTTGAATCCTACCCAGATTTTTCGACTCGGTTATTTTCATTAGTTGTAAACCAGGTGGGTACACGAGGTAGGGAATGTCCTCGGAAGCCCGCCTCGTTTACTACTTCAGTTGTCCTACACCTAGGGGAAGAGAGGTACTGTGGGAGTGTCTTGCCCAAGAACACGACACAATTACCCTGGCTAGGGCTCGAGCGTTCAAACAGCTAGCTATAAGGCAACGTGACAGCCACTACAATCCTCTACGAGAACTTAAAAATAAGTACTTTATTTAAAAATTTCGTTTAGACAATGTTACACTGCAGCGGAATTTAAGGTCTTTAATTATGTTTGGTCATATCAACTTCAAATTTTCTGGTCAAAAACTAATCCTACACAAACACAAAACCGACGCTAGAAATATTTTAAGTGTATCCAAATTCGCAATTAGCCAATGAGAAGCCGAGTTTACTCTCCTGATGTTCTGAGATATCAAATCACTGACCTGATATTGCTACGATATCATGCTCACTTGAGACCACTTGAAGGTAAATACCTTATCGCACCTTTCTTGATACGCTTCGGCAGTATATCAGGCTCGTTTGGTCTCGCCATGGGTATTTCAGCTCAATTACGTACGTCTTCCCAAAATACGAACCATCGTGCGACCGAACTCGCCTTAGATCAGCCACCGAAGCATGTGTCTTTACTACTTCCATTAGAAATTGTAAACGGCAATCTTTGATATATCGGCATGGAGACGAACTCAGAATGCCATAATTTAATATAATACGCCTTTTTTATTTCTTAAATCAGTATGTAAACTGCCTTGACCAAAGGACTAAAATTTAACTTTATTAATATAACAACTTTGAGTACCATTAACGCAAATTAATCCTTTCTTGAATGAAGAAAACAAGTTTAAATCGGATTCAGTTCAATTATTTCAAAGATTAATATTTAACACTATGAGATTCACAAGTCTAATCTATCCAGTAAGCTCATTGTTTTAGTTCCGACGAAAGATTTTACCCAATTAGGGGCGGGTTGTTCGAAAGCCGGTTAGGAAACTAGGGTTAAAAGTTAACCGAAGTATTAATTTTTCTTGTATAAAAATGTTTTTCAGTGCTTATCTTTTGTGTAGTTTGAAATTATTCAAACTCAAAACTGAAGAGCAAAGAATATAGACAAAACCGCCCTAAAAAGTTGCAAAACTCAAATCAAACTTCTCGCTAATCCTGGGTCAGCTTAATCGGGCTTTGAACAACCCTGCCCTGGAGTCCATCATCCTGTCAATTCCTTTAGGGTCATGTGATGCGGGTGACATCGATCACCGAAATAGATCCGTTCTCAAGACAGGCGAAAGATGTAATCATAGCAGAACTTAAGAGGCCCTGCGCCTAAGAAACGACCGATGATTTCCGGCTAAAAAATAAAATTGGCCGATTTTTAT